TAAGCAAGAAAAACAGCGCTGCAACGAAGAAAGATAAGAAAGGAGAGAGGAAAACACCTCCATCCCTTAACGCAAATAACGAGCCTGCTCGTAGAAGAAAGCCACCTCGTACGGCAGCTGTAACTATCAAAGTGAAAGATGAGTCTATATCTTATGCTGAGATAATAAAGAAGGCGCGCGGTGAGATCTCTCTTAGCGAACTCCAAATCGAAAACCAGCGCATAAGAAAAGGAATAAATGGCAGTATTATTATCGAAATTGCTGGTCAAGATAGTCAGCAGAAGGCTGACACTTTGGCTCAGAAGTTAACTACTGTTCTGGAAAAGGAGGCAAAAATCTCCCGACCCACTATTAAGGCAGAACTGAAAATTTCCGGTCTAGACGACTCTGTCACGTCTACTGAAATAGAGTTCGAGGTTGCTGAGGCTGGCGGATGTTCTGCTGGTGATGTCAGGTCTAGCGAGATTCGTTGGATGAGAAACGGCCTCGGCACTGCATGGATAAGATGTCCTTTAGAGGCAGCAAATAAGATCAATGAAAAAGGAAAGTTGAAAATAGGATGGACGATTGCAAAAGTCGAGCTACTTAAAAAACGACCGCTCCAATGTTTCAAATGTTGGGCCTTTGGTCATATAGGCTTCTCTTGTACATCAACAGTTAACAGACAGGGGTATTGCTACTTCTGTGGTAACTCGGGACATACGTCAAGAACATGTAAAGCAGAAAGTCCCGACTGTCTACTATGTAAGGAAAAGAATCTAAAATCAAATCACAGATTAGGTTCTGCAACATGTAGTGCATTAAAGGATTTAGTGCAAAATAAGCCGATCCCAAGAACGAAGCTACTATCTAAAGGCAAGATTACAACAAAGCCAGAGCGGAGGCTGGCTGAAACAAATATGGAGGTCGATGATGCAGCCGTTTAAGTTGATTCAATGCAACTTGAACCACAGCTGGGGAGCTCACAACCTTCTCCAGCAACATGTCCGTGAACAGGATTGCCTGTTTGCTCTTGTGTCAGAGCCAGTCTGCATACCGGAGAACGATTGGTATGGTAGTATCGACAAAAATGCAGCCATTCACTGGAGAGGCAGAGAAGTTAAACATCGATGTAAACTCCTTTTTAAAGGCAACAGACATGTGGCTATGCAGTACGGCGATCTCGCGATCTTCTCATGTTATATATCTCCAAACTGCAGTTTACCCGAGCTCGAGGAATTCATCGACGAGGTAGATACGGACATTAAAAGATGCAACACTCGACATATTTTATTGGGTGGCGACTTTAACGCGAAGTCGGTCTACTGGGGCTGCTCAACCACAGATAGGCGTGGAGAATGTGTCGAGAACTGGGCAGTCAACTCGGGTTTGACTCTTTTAAATGTTGGCCAAACCCCCACATGCGTCAGATCCCAGGGTGACTCGATTGTCGATTTAACCTGGTCAACACCAGAATTTGCACGGTGGGTTACTTCCTGGAAAGTAGATACGGACACTCTGACGCTTTCAGATCACAGATATCTGGTTTTGAAAGTTAAAGGTTCCACTAACAAAGACAGAACTACAGCTAGAATTGTGTATCCGAAATGGAGTCACAAAAATATAGATACAGAACTCCTTGTAGAAGCAATAGAATTGGAATGCTCAAAGTGGATTGATCCGGAAAACGGTCATGTTGCAGCCGTTAAATTGAAAGAGCTAATGACTACAGTATCTGATCTGGCTATGAAAAGAGTTCGCAAACCAAGAAAGAAAAGACAGGCTCATTGGTGGTCGGCTTCTTTGGAAGAGAAAAGGAAAGAGTGCATTGCTTACCGGCGAAGATGGTCCAGAGCAAAAGGAAAAAAGAATCTTACAGATATTGTATCCCTACGAATCGAATATAAAAAGAAGAGAAAAGAATTGAGTCAGGCCATCTTCAAGGCGAAAGAAGACTCCTGGACAATCTTACTGCGAGAATTAAATAATGATCCATGGGGATTGGCATATAGAATCGTCCTCAGCAGGCTTAGAATGTCATCCTCTGCGTTGACAGAGATTCTTGATCCTGGAGTTCTAGACGAGCTGATTCATGGTCTCTTCCCTACGGATAATAATAGACAAAGAGTGGCATTCCTTGAGATCCCAGATTGGAACGACGAGTGGGACATCACTTCTGCAGAAGTTCATCAAGTTCTGATAAAAAGAATGAGCACTAACGCTGCTCCTGGCCCTGACGGCATAAGCAACAAGATATGGAAGCTAATACCTAACTCCTTAATCAATTTGATAGCTAGCATACTTACCGGTTGTCTCCGTGCTGGTGTATTTCCGGACGTGTGGAAGACTGCGAGACTTGTTCTGATCCCGAAAGACCCATCTAATATGGAAGATGTCCCCAAAGCACGTCCGATCTGCCTACTCGATGAAATCGGCAAGTCATTCGAGAGAATTATCCTGAGAAGGATAGAAGCGTGGATGCAGGACAAAGAAGGAATCCTATCCCAAAATCAATTTGGCTTCCGCCGAAATAGGTCCACTACGGACGCCTTGAAGATGGTGACTGATTTGATTGAGTCCGAAATCTCTACGGGAGGAGTCGCAATTGTGGTTAGCGTCGACATCAAAAACGCTTTCAATAGTCTCCCGTGGACACAGATCAGAGAGACATTGTTTCTTAGGAAATTCCCTAGATACTTGAGAAGAATCCTACACGCGTACTTATCCAATAGAACGGTAGAATTCGCGACACAAGATGGATCCGTCAGGAAAATAATAGTAAGTACGGGCGTCCCTCAGGGTTCGGTAATCGGCCCATATCTCTGGAATGTGTCATATGATAAAGTCTTGAGAGTCGATAAACTGGCAGGTACTGAGGTTGTCTGCTACGCCGATGATACCTTGGTCATCGCCCTAGCAGACAGCTTCGAGGATGCAAAGACCAAAGCATGTATTGTCTTGGAGAGAGTCTTGCAACGAATAGAGGATATGGGTCTAACAGTTGCCCTAAATAAAACAGAAGCGGCAGCCTTTTGGAGAAAGCAAAGCAAGAGCCCTCTGGGGAAAAATGCTAAAATGACAATAAATGGCACAGATATTCCGATCAAAGAGAAAATCAAGTATCTAGGAATAGTCTTAGATAGGAAATTAAACTACGAAGAACACTTTAAATACGCTTCAGAAAAAGCTATGAAAGTTAGTAGAGCTTTGACACGCCTTATGCCAAATTTACGAGGTCCAAGTGAGCTCAAAAGAAAGTTGTACTACAACGTAGTCCAATCACTCGTCTTGTATAACGCTCCAATATGGAGCACTCGTCTAGAGCAGTCGATAAGCGTACAGCGCCCGCTGCGTAGAGTTCAGCGTCTTATGGCAATTCGTGTGATCGCAGGGTATCGAACCATATCCTTCAATCTTGCTACCCTTTTAGCCAGAGCTCCACCGTGGCATTTGATGGCAGCAAAGTATAGATATACTTACATTAAGAAATCTGAGGCTATACGGCGTGGGGAATGGTCCCCACAAACAAAGAAAGAAATTGACATGGAAGCTGAGACGGCAATGATGAGAACATGGGAAACGTATCTACGGAACGACACTCAATCTCATTCTAGTCACAAGATCCAGAAAGTTATATGCGACCACTTACCGTTATGGTATGGACAGAAACATGGAATAACCAACTATCGGCTTACACAGATTATGTCAGGACATGGCTGTTTCCAGAAATTTTTGCACAGGATAAGGAAGGCTAATACTAACACGTGCATACATTGTATGGTAAGAAAGAGAGTGGATTCTGCGCAACATACCTTGTTCGAATGTCCCACGTGGAATGAAGCTAGGAATAAATTAAACGATATTATGAAATGTCGATTAGAATGGTCGTCATACGTTCCGGAAATATGTAAATATAAAGAGAAATGGAAAGCGTTAAGCGATTATGCAAATGAAGTTATGAGACACAAAGAGGACGCTGAGCGAGAAAGGGAGAGACATAACTCACAATTTCTGAGTGACGTCGATGAGTTAGATGAGGAAAGTGAGGCTACATAAAATATAAATTTTTGGACTTACACGACTTATTAGATATGAAGGCTCATGGCACGCACGCACGCAAAACGCACACACACACACACACACACACACACACACACACACACACACACACACACCCACACCCACACATGTACACACATATATACATACGCAGCCAAACACATACACAAACACACACATACACATATACAAGTACACACACGTACACATACATACATACACGCACACACACACACACACATACATATACACATCATATACACACAACTCGCACACCTATTTACTTATCTATTTACTACCATATCTTATCTTATATATCTATACATCTTATATACTTACTTATATAATTACCACACACATGTGACCCTGAGAGGAAAGATGGCGGGATGAGTAATGAGTACTCTGTTACCTGCAACGAAAAGAGCAACTAATGCACTGATTAGAAAGGATTGCAGGAGGTTTAGAGGACAGCACAGAACGTCCTTCTGGACATGCATGCATGATAATGAAGACATGTTACCATAAGTTAAGATTACGGACTAGGACGGAAGCGGTTAGCGTTGTGAGTGGAGACGTTGAAGATGCCATGCAGACACAGTTCCTTCAATTTCTCCCTTGAGCTCGTAGGAAGCATTACCCTACGGGCTTAGCGGGTAGTCGGGGAAGGGACTTTAACCTTCCCCGGAGTCCCGCACTACCTAGGGGGCCGTCCCCTGGGTGTGCGTAAATGCATTACCACCTCCCTCCCCGGATGGTAAAAAAAAAAAAAAAAAAAAAAAAAAAAAAAAAAAAAAAAAAAAAAAAAGGTTAGGTTAGGTTAGGTTAGGTTAGGTTAGGTTAGGTTAGGTTAGGTTAGGTTCTCCTCCGATTTCACGCGGGGGTACAAAACCACCCCCGCAGAGGCGGCGCTCGCGGTGTCGGGTTCGATCCCTTGGGATCTGTTAGCGGAGGCGTACGCCACGATGTATGAGTGGCGTACTACCCTCCGCCAGGAAGGAGTAACCCCGACACCGCGCGAAAAGGAAGTTGCTAGGACCCAGTTCCGGCAGCTCGCGATAGAGAAATGGAAGGAGAGGCTGGCCCACGTCAGGGTCGGTCTCAGAGCTGTCGGAGCCATCCGCCCAGTATTAGAAGAATGGGTGGATCGGCGGCCGAAAGGACTCCCATTCAGGACGGTGCAGGTGCTCACCGGACATGGATGTTTCGGTGAGTACCTGCACGAGAAGGCGGGGCGCGAGCCGACGACGCGCTGTCATCATTGCGAGGAGGAAAGGGACACAGCCCAGCATACGCTAGAGGAGTGTCCCTCATGGGATGATGAACGCCGCGACTTGCGGCAGGTGGTGGGCGACGATCTCTCGCTCCCGATCATCGTAGCAAAGATGGTCGAGAGCGAGGATGCCTGGGACGCCATGGTCTCCTTTTGTGAGAACGTCATCTCACAAAAGGAGGCCGCGGAGAGGGTCAGGGAAGACAATCCCGATGCTGACCCAATCCGCCGGAGGAGGGGGGGTGCACGGCGGCGAGCCTATGATCGCCAAGGCCCGTAGCACCTCCAGCAGGGAAGCCTAATCCCTGCACCTCCTCCAGTGGCGGGCCGGGGGACGCAATTGTCCCTCGGCTAGGGGCCGTGGGGGTCTTTCGCGCCTGGAGAACGCGGAAGTTCCCCCCGCGACACCAAGCCCCTTCCCGGAAGGACGGTAAGACAGGGTGACCCGGTCTCACCGTCAATTTTCCTGTAGGGGGGTGGGGTGCCTACGCACCCTGCCCCACCTCTCACAGAGGGACCCTCCCCATCCAACGGGGGGGGTCGTAGCACGACCAGGGGGGGCCGCGGACGCGTGCAAGTCCGATCCCGTTGCCCCCCCGAGTGCGTGCGAGGTGGTCACCATGGGGTTTTAGTGGGTAGTCGAGACGTTTTAGTTCCCGGAGTCCCACATAACCCCCCCCTTACTCTCCTTGGGGGGGGTATGCGTCAATGCATTTCCCCATGTAAAAAAAAAAAAAAAAAAAAAAAAAAAAGGTTCTCCTCCGATTGCCGCGTACAGCGGCAGTGGTAATCACTTGCAATGCGGGTGATTACCGAGATAATCTCCAACATGCCGTCAGGAATATCGACCTGGCGGAGTTGGAGATTAGTGGCATGACGGCCAGAAAGGCATTGACAGGGGCCCAGATCTATGAAATTAAGGGCCCCGATAATGCCAAAAAAGCCGACGCCCTGGCGGCACGCCTACGAGAGGTGCTGGCCGAGAGAGAAGGGGTGCGAGTCACACGGCCAGTAATGATGGCGGAAATTAGGGTCCGTGACCTTGACGATTCGGCAACGCCGAGTCAAGTCACGGACGCCATCGTCCAGGCTACGGGATGCGACCCCGACAACATTAAAGTCGGGGTCATACGGTCAGTGGGCAGAGGAATGGGCACCCTCTGGGTGCGATGCCCGATGGCCGCGGCCAACAAGTTAACCGCAGCCAAGAAGCTACGAGTGGGGTGGGTAAACGCCCGAATCGAGGCACTGGAGCCCAGACAGCTCCAGTGCTTCAAGTGCCTCGAGAAGGGGCACGTGCAGGCGCAGTGCAGCAGCGGTGTCAACCGCGCTGCATGCTGCTATAGATGCGGCAAGGAGGGGCACATCGCGCGGGACTGCCAATCCCCGGTAAAGTGCCCAATATGCGCTGGCCTTAAGCGCCCAGACGGGCATAAGGCCGGATCACGCGCCTGCACGGCACCCAAGAAAAGGGCCAAGGGAAAGGTCGTCCAACCCGCCCCACGAGCAGAAAGAGTGGCCCCAGGAACTTCCCAACAAACGGGAACCACAGGAGCCACGACCCAACATGGAAGCGGCGGTGACCGTGATAAGTCACGTGTCACGCAGCCCCAGGCGGAGGAGGATCCACAAGAAGTGGAAATGAAAGAGACGGAGGAATCAGCCCCCCCGCTCCCACAAAGGGAGAGGAGAAAGCGAGATCCGAGCTGCCTCTGCTGCGTAATGGAGGGGACTAGCAGCTGCATGGAGACGGAGCAGGAGGAGCCAAACACCCGTGAACCAGTATGGGTGTAAAGCTCCTCCAGGCAAACCTGAACCACGCTCATCAAGCGCAGAACTTATTCTGTCACAACCTTGATGAGCGTGGTATTAGCCTGGGTATCGTCGCCGAGCCGATCCGAATCCCCGACAATAACCCAAATTGGGTAGGGGATGTTGGCGGCTTGGTGGCGATTATAAGGAACGCCAGTTTCAACTCCCCTCCTCTCAAGATACGAGAGAGAGGAAGGGGATACGTGGCGGTCGAGTGGGGGTCCACCACATGCATCTCGTGCTATGCCCCCCCAAGACAGAGCCTCGTCGACTTCGTCGACTATTTGGAGAGGCTGGGGAGAATAGTAGGCGACGTAATCCCTCAGCCGCTCCTCATTGCCGGGGACTTTAACGCAAAGTCCCCGGCATGGGGCGGTCGAAGAGAGGACCCTCGAGGAGAGGCTCTGCGGGGGTGGGTGGAATCGCTCGGTCTCTGCGTATTAAACGAGGGCCGAGCGGGCACATGTGTGCGTCACAATGGGGAGTCGATAATCGACGTTACGTTTGGCTCCCCAGCTCTGGCGCGCACGATGCACGGCTGGCGCGTCATTACAGACACCGAGACTCTCTCGGACCATCGTTACATAGAGATGGTCATAGGAGGGGTCTCGGGCCAGCCGGTGCACCGCCCACCCCGGGGGGGTGAAGTTGCACGAAGGTGGACCCTCACTAAATTGAACGAGGAGGCCTTGGAAACGGCCCTCACGGCGGCCACGTGGGCGCGAGCGGAACAACAGTGGGGGCAGGAGATTCCACAAGCGGTGGAATGGCTCCGGGGCACAATGTGGCAACTGTGTGACGCTGCCATGCCCCGGGCCAAAGCCTGCCCCCGGCGGCGGGCGGCGTATTGGTGGACGGACGAGATCGCGGAGCTACGCGTCTCGTCCGTCCGGGCCCGCCGCGCGCTCAAAAGGTCCCGCCGTGAGGGCGGAGACCGACAGGAGGAAGCCCTCCAAACATATAGGGCGGCGAGAACTGCCCTGGCCCGGGCAATTAGGGAGTCCAGGTCACGTTGCTGGGAGGAACTACTATCCTCCCTCAACGAGAACCCATGGGGGCGTCCATACAAAATAGTCATGGACAAACACCGTGCATGGACGCCCCCGGTGACGGTGACCCTGGAACCTCATGTCCTCGAACAAGTGGTGGACACCCTCTTCCCACAAGCGGGAGAGGGGTCCACCTTAGAGTGGGGTCCGGAAGAAGAGGGCCCCCAAACACCAATAGAGGACATAGAGGTATCCGGGGAAGAGCTTGCCCGTGCCGTCCGGAGAATAGGGTCACGTAAGGCCCCTGGACCGGACGGCGTACCGGGTAAGCTATGGGTTCTGACCTTGGGCTCCCTAGGAGAAAGGCTGAGGGTGCTCTTCACAGAGTGCCTGAAGCAAGGGGTGTTCCCCCAGGAATGGAGAAGGGCCAAGTTGGTCCTCCTCCATAAGGAAGGCAAGGAGTTAAACTCTCCTTCGGCGTACAGGCCTATATGCCTGTTGGACGAGGTGGGAAAAATTCTGGAAAGAATAATAGCCACCCGCCTCGTCCAGCACCTGTCGCGGGAAGGGTGTGGTCTCCACGAGGAACAATACGGCTTCCGTGAGGGAAAGTCAACCATTGACGCCATCAAGCGCGTCCGCTCCCTCACGGAGGCAGCAGTGAAGGATGGCGGGGTGGCATTGGCGATATCACTGGATATCGCCAATGCATTTAACACCCTGCCATGGGATAAAGTGGGGGATTCCCTTAAGCAACATGGGGTCCCCCGCTACCTCGTGGAGATTGTGCGAGCTTACTTCCGCGACAGGGAACTGGAGTTCGTCAATATGGACGGACTCCAGTGCCGAAGGAGGGTACACTGTGGGGTCCCACAGGGGTCAGTATTAGGCCCCCTGCTGTGGGACCTCGCGTTTGACAGTGTCCTTCGCCTTCCAGTTCCCCGTGGTTGCCACGTCGTCTGCTATGCAGACGACACGCTGGTGGTGGCCACGGGTGAGGAGTGGGGGAACACCATTGCCCGGGCCGAGGTGGCACTGGCCAGCGTGGTGCGCAGAATCACCGATCTCGGACTGAAGGTGGCCGCACACAAAACGGAGGCGCTCAGCTTCTATGCTCGCGCCTCCGATAGGCCACCAGAAATCAGACTCCGGATCGGTGATACCTCTATCCTGGTGGGGGACCGAATCAAGTACCTCGGTCTCCTACTGGACGGCAGGTGGAAGTTTGGGTATCATTTCGATACCCTAGCCCCCAAGGTTCAGCGAGTGGCGACTGCCCTCGCCCGTATTCTACCGAACCTTGGGGGACCGGATGGACGTGTCCGCCGCATTTACGTCGGCACCGTGAACTCGGTCGCCCTTTATGGAGCCCCGATCTGGGCGGAGGAGCTCGCGGCCATGCGTAATGCTGTGGCCAAATTCAGGCGTATCCAGCGCAGCATGGCCGCGAGGGTGATAAGGGCGTACCGCACGGTGTCGCACGCGGCGGCCACAGTGCTGGCGGGGTGGCCCCCGTTGGAGTTCCTCGCTCGTGCATGGAAAGATGTATACGAGCAAGAGGGGGAGCTCCGACGGGAGCACAACATCTTTACCCTACCAGCCAAAACGAGGAAGGCCATCCGGCTCCACCACCGACGGTCCATGTTGGAGAGGTGGTCCGCACACCTCTCCGATCCGAAAACTGCGGGTCAGAGGACCGTCGGAGCCGTCCGGCCCTGTCTCGACGAATGGGTAGACAGGGCCCAGGGAGAGGTAACGTTCCGCATGACGCAGGTGCTCACCGGACATGGTTGTTTCGGTGAGTACCTGTGTCGCATCAAGCGGGAGCGCACCACGCAGTGCCACCACTGTGACGAGGCGAGAGACACGGCGCAGCATACTCTGGCGGAATGTCCAGAGTGGGAGGAGCTGCGCCGTGAACTAAAAAACGTGGTGGGTCCAGACCTCTCGTTGCCGGTCATGGTAACTAAAATGATCGGCGACGAGAGCTGCTGGAAGGCTGTCACCTCCTTCTGCGAAGAAGTGATGAAGCAGAAGGAGGCGGCAGAGAGGATCCGCCGCCAAGAACAGGCGGTGGAAAGGGCGGCGGCAGTAAGGGCCGCCGGGCCACCTCCCTCCTCAGATGAAGGGGAGGAAGAGGAAGAGGAGGAAGACGATGACGACGCGACTGCGAGCAGCAGCCGGATTAGAAGGACCAGAGGAAGGTGAAGTTAAGGGGGGGAACACAACTAAAAAAGGTGTTCCCCCCCCTCCTCCCTGGAAGTCCTCTCCGTAGAGACGGAACGGGAAGAATGGAGCGAGGTGGAGTCGGAGGGGGACATCACAACTCCCCCTCTCCCCCACCACCCCAGAGCCCACCAAGTGTGGACAGAGCAGAAAGGGAGAGTCTCATACACTAAGAGACTCTCCCTTCCCCCCTCAGCTATACGAGGGACGGGGAGCTCCCGCCGCACACATTAATAGGCGGGAGCTCTCAACT